CTTCTTCTCTTCGATCTCCCGTTGGATTTGTAGGTGTTTGCAATCTTTAGATAAGCTATCTAGCTGATCTCCTGCTACCTGAAATAGTCTCAGCCTGCTACTTCTCCACCATCTTGACTCCTCTCCTTGAATTTGTTTTATTTTATATTGTTTTAAAGCACATTCAATAATAAATATTTTAAAATTTTTCTGACCATCCCAGACCATACCTCAAAAATTCAAAAACATGCATTAAATGCCTTTGGCCTTGAAAACATCTAAAAATTTATTTATAGACATATACAGTAACAAGCATCTTTACATAAATAAAGCATGTAGGTTATAGTTTTATTTTGGTACATCACATGACAGGATAACAAGGTGATGTTGTGGGAAAAGACTCCCCCTGGGAGTTGGCACACCAGAGCCCTGGTCCAGGCTCCCCACATTCACAGGAGATGAGGCAGAGGATATAGTAACACTCCAGCCCTCAGTTCCCAACTAGTAGAACATGAAGGGGAAAAAGAGCAACCCAAGTGTCCCTCATGGGTTTTTTTTTTTTTCAATTATTTGATTCTAAGATTCTCAAAGTATTAGCTTTTTATCTGTTGCCTACGCAGGGATGGCTTGAAAAATAAGAAAATGCTCAGAATTTAGTGTGTATTGGCTAAAGCCAATAAAGATAAATGCATGTCCAGGAAACAAAGACACTTAACAGATATGGATTTGGCATCAATTGTTCTAGGCATTATGACCAACATATAAAATGTCTGCCCTCATGGAGTTTATATTTTAAGAAAAGGGTGGACATAAGCAATAAACAAAATAAATACAATCTTTGATTGGTCACATGGTAATAAGTGCTGTGGAGAAAAATAAATCGGGGTGAGCAGGTCAGTGTAAGTCTGGAGGGGATTCTGGCAATTTCAAATAGCATGTTCAGGAAAGGACCCTGTAAGAAGATATGAGTGAGCAGAGGAGGAGATGATGAAGCAGCTCTGAGGACACCAGTAGGCATTCTCCTGGGATGGGAAGCCACTGGGGGATTTGAACAGAGGGATGACATGATGGACTTCCGAGCTAACAGGCTCACTCTGGGTAGAGTACAGTAGGGCAAAGTCGATTCAGGGAGCCCAGTGCGGAAGCTACAGGAGAGCTGGTGAGAGGTGGTTACATTTGGATGCATCGTGAAGGAGGAGGTTGCAGGGTTTGCTAAAGAACTGGATGTGTGGTAACAAAGAGAAAAAGAAGAGTGAAAGCTCACTTCAGATTCTGGGCCTGAGGTGGTAAAGACTGGAGAGAGGTTAGGGTGGGGGTCATGGAAGAGGACCAGGAGTCTGGCTTGGGTGAGTGCCAATGCCTACTGGATATCAAGTGGCCATCTCAGTTAAGCAGTTGGATAGACAAGTCTGGAACTAGAGGCCAGGTTCTAGGTTAGAGTTGTAAATTTGGGAATTAATGATCAGTATATAGAAAATTGATACTAAAGCCATGAGACTGTATAAATCACTAAAAGAGAGTGTGTCAATAGAGATGGAAAGAGGTCCAAGGACTAAGGTGGAATCCAGTGCTACTAAGAGTTTGAGAATTGAGCAGTTTCCAGCCAAGATGATGAGATGGGGAGTGGCCAGTCTTATCAGCGGAGAAAACCCAGAAGAATGTAGTAGAAGCCAAGTGAAGAAAGCATTTCAAAAAGGAGACATCATTTCTAGAATATCAGTTGTTAGTGGTTGAATCTACACTTGCAGATTTTCTGTGTCAAGTGAGGATGTCATATGTACACATCAACTCCCCTGAAGGATGCTTTATAATCGCACCTAGTAAGGAGAACAGGTTTGCATATATGTAGGTTGTATCATTATATTCCAAATAGACATCATTTTTGGAACATCCAGTATTTCTTACTTTCCACACCTATTCCTACGCCTGTCACCACAAACGATTGTTTCTAATTGCACTATGGTTGTCTTCTCATCTCATGGAAATATTATCAAGATCAGTGTGATTACAAAAGAAGAATCATCTAATGCTCAGCCATGTGGATTTGCTACACCACACACTAAACATTACTTCTATTTATTTAAAAATGTTGAATTTACATTAGATTATAAATGTGTAATATTCTGGGAACGCAGCATATTATAAAATGAAGCTGCTGTGTGAATGTATTCTTCATAAGAACATGTTGACCATATTTTTTTACTCAAACCATATTCTATCTCCAATCCTGCCTAAGAAATCTGGCTTTCTCACTCCCTTAGGAGATAAAGCATTTTATTTAAATCACCTTTCCTGATAGTTGATCTAAGAGAAGAGGGAAAAGAAATAGATACAACTCACAGCCTCAGGATATAGACATCCTGTCTCCATTCCTTTTAGCTTTTACTGGACATCAGGCTGCCAGTCTAATAAGACAACAAAGAAAAGTAAACAGAAATGAAAAGCAAAATAAATAGCAGTCTTTATCCCACTGGAAATAACCATAAATTTAAAAATGCAACCTTGGCTATATCGTGAAAGGATTTTCTTGGTCTGTTTCCATAGCTGTATTTTATTCTCTTCTGAACTAATCTAGACTTTTTCTTAAGATTCATATTGTACACCAGTCTTGTTTACCCTAAAAATCTTTTGCAAAACAATTTCTCAGTAAATCGTGCTTTATCTATGCCATGTGGCATCATCCTGCAAACCCAAACTCTGGGTTCTAAGCAACGGTGAAAAACTAGGTAGCATAATTCCTATGACTTGTGTTTTCATGGACGTACTGAGATGGAAGACTAAATATAAGGGATACGGGTAGCTTCCCTTGGCTTCACAAATCTTTGATGTTAAGTCATGTGTCCTACAAACCCATGTGCACCTGTCCTCAATGCCTTTGTCTGTTTTACAGTCTTCTTCTGGCATTATCTAATGAAAGCTATAAAAAGAGAATATTTCCTTCCCATTACAACAGCAAAAAAAAAAAAAAAAAATTTCAAGAATGAAGCCAAAAATATCATACCACGTCACAGTCCCATCTTAATAGTAGGTCTAAAAGTCATTAGCACCAGACCATCACTTCAGGTCAAAGCAGAGTTTCAAAACCAAACCCTCTATAGACTTAACATTGAAATGTGATTATTATCACAAAAATATTGAAGTAAAAAATGAGGTAAACAATTTCTTAATGTCAGTTTGTTTTTGATTGACATCATTGTTCTATTACATTTATGTTCTGCATTTTGGTATGAACGATTGTTTTCTTTTGTTTTTTAATTTTTTAATTTTTTTTATTAACATATAATGTATTATTAGCCCCAGGAGGACAGATCTGTGAATCTCCAGGTTTACGCTTCACAGCACTCATCATACCACATACCCTCCCCAATGTCCATAACCCAACCACCGTCTCCCTAGCCCCTCCCCCAGCAACCCTCAATTTGTTTTGTGAGATTAAGAGTCTCTTATGGTTTGTCTCCCTCCCTATCCCATCTTGTTTCATTTATTCCTTTCCTACCCCCCAAACCCCCCACATTGCCTCTCAACTTCTTCATATCAGGGAGATCATATGATAATTGTCTTTCTCTGATTGACTTACTTCGCTCAGCATAATACCCTCTAGTTCCATCCACGTCATTGCAAATGGCAAGATTTCATTCCTTTTGATGGCTGCATAGTATTCCTGTGTGTGTGTGTGTGTGTGTGTGTGTGTGTGTGTGTATACCACATCATCTTTATCCATTCATCTGTTGATGGACATCTAGGTTCTTTCCATAATTCGGCTATTGTGGACATTGCTGCTATAAACATTCAGGTACACATGCCCCTTCGGATCACTACATTTGTATCTTTAGGGTAAATACCCAGTAGTGCGATTGCTGGGTCTCAGGGTAGCTCTATTTTCAACTTTTTGAGGAACCTCCATGCTGTTTTCCAGAGTGGTTGCACCAGCTTGCATTCCCACCAACAGTGTAGGAGGTGAACCATTGTTTTCTATTAGGAATCTTCCCTAAAGATTAGGAACCAAGGTAAATTTAACTCCATTTTATCTGTTCTACACAGGACCATAATGGGAGAGATACAGTCATTCTCTGATATTTACCAGAAATATTTACTTACTAAAACTGTCACCTGGTACAAGGCCACTGTACCAGTTGTACAGTGAGAATAGAAGAAAAGAGAAGATGATGGGCTATCTGTGGCTACTATTCACTTAAGGGTATCTAGATCTACCTCATAGATAATGTTTTGTGTTTCTTTTTTTAAAATTTAAATTCCTGTTAGTTAACGTACAGTGCAAAGTTGGATTCTGGAGTAGAATTCAGTGGTCCATCACTTACATATAACACTCAGTGCTCATCACAACAAGTGCCCTTTTTTTTTTTTTTTTAAAGATTTTGTTTATTTACTTGACAGACTGAGATCACACATAGACCAGAGAGGCAGGCAGGGGTGGGTGGTGGGAAGCAGGCTCCCTGCTGAGCAGAGAGCCTGATGCAAGGCTCCATCCCAGGACCCTGAGATCATGACCTGAGCTGAAGGCAGAGGCTTAACCCACTGAGCCACCCAGGGGCCCCAACAAGTACCCTTCTTAATACCCATTACCAAGCTAGACCATCCCTGCCGACCTCCCTCAAGTTTCTTTTTTAATATATAAAGAGGAATAAAATACGACCTTAATAAGTACCAGCAGCTTTCACTACTCCTTCCATCAGTTTTCCTCCAGTGTAAAAAAAACACAGGCAAATCTATCTGATGCTGCCATATTATAAACTGTCACAAGATTTTGCTGAACCCCAAATGAAGATTTCAGACTTGGGCCTGCTGAAGCAACTGATTCCCAAAGGGATGAAACTCTTAAGGATCCCACTTATTTTTCACATCAGAACTCATAGAAAGTGATAAAAAGCCAATGATTCATCATTGGCCAAGGGAAAGATCTTTCCAGCATTTCTAATTTCTTTAATTTAAATAAATTATAAATTTTGTAATGACTGCTTTCCACCACCACCCCCTTCCCCCCGCCCTCTTTTTTTTTCCAGGTACAGAGCAGTTGCCTCCTGGAGTCGCGTTCAGGGAATTGGGATTCCCTTGATCACTGCCATTGAGATAGTCTCCATCTGGATCCTTTCTTTTATCCTGGCCATCCCTGAAGCTATCGGCTTTGTCATGGTGCCCTTTGAATACAGGGGTGAACAGCACAAAACCTGTATGCTCAATGCCACGTCAAAATTCATGGAGGTATGGAGAGTATAAAGGAAATTAACTGGGGGAGGGAGAGGAGGTCTTCATTTATACGTTATCATTGCCAAGACTTGATATTTCTACAGTGCCCAGCGTGGTTTACTCTTTTAGTTTGGTCACATATTCTTCAGCTGCATGAAAAGTACACATTATGGGAGGGTTTAGCTTCTTGAATAGAACTATTTTGTTTTCACTCTTATAGCACAATCGTAGACAGGACTGTTCTGCACCAAACAACTTAGAGTCTAAAACAAACGTACTCTCAGTGCTCACTTCGGTAGCACATGAACTGAAAGAAACTGAGAAAAAAAGATGGATATGCTATTTGTTTTTGTAATAAGCAACACAGCACAAGAATTTCCATCTGACAGGCATGCTAATAGGCATTTTGTTACTTGGGCAAATGCACAATGCTCACATTTTTTTTAAAAAGATAGATTTATTAACTTAAAGTAGGAAGCCATACTTATAGGTACTTATGGTCGTACAATTCTGCATGTATTATACAAATGATATAAATTTGCAGAACTTTTTTTAAAGTGTTTTAGTTAAGCGAATTCCGTCTTTATTTAATACACCTGACCACATTATGTTTTTCTGCAGACTTTAATTATGTAATTGAGTGTATTGGAAAACATGTTTAAAATGCGTATTTCCTTTACCAAACTAGTCAAATGTGGACAGAGGAGAAAAACTAAAAGGGTAACTACTTCTCTTAAACCGGCATAATTTAGTGCTTTGATGTAGGTTTCATACAGCTCAGATTCCACATTTAATCATTTACAGACATCTCCAGGTATGTTTTCCTAACTTGGAAAATTCACAAAATTAGTGGTTTTACAGTTGACCAGTTTTCCTCTTTGGAAATTCTTATTTTAAATTTAAAAGTGCTCTTGAAAACTGCCAAACTGGCAATGGTAAAATGAAGGTATTCTGTTTATCTACTGACCTTTTTATTAAGTCAGTCTCCAAAGTGAAAGAACAAAGAAAACAGCAGGAGGTTATCAGAATTTGGGAAGTGGGAATAAGCCATCTAGATATTCCAGGCTAAAGTGTTAGAGAAAAGAGTCTTGATATAAGAAGGGGCTACTAATCATGTGAACCAGGCAAAATGAAAAGAGCTTTCGCAAAGACAAGTCTCTAATAAGAGTGGGCAAGCAAAGGTTGGCTACCTTAGGGTTTCAGTAAAAGGTAGGAGTTTATACTGATCATTTTTTACATTCCGTTCCGAGTCTGAAGTTTCCAGATTCTTTTTCTCCTCTTGTTGCCTAGTTTGTGTTCCATTCTTTCCTCCTCAACTTTGCTCTAACCTAGAGTGGAGGGAGGTCCCTTCATACCCTGGCTGATGACATTAGTTCAAAAGAAATGTGTGACCCCTTTCTCTACAGGCCTGTGCCTTGGAGGGGGCAGGGGCTCCAACCAGACCCCTCAGGGGTCAGCTTCCAAACCCTCTGCAGCTGCTTCTGCAGCATTCATACCCAGTCAGCAATGCATCTGGAAGGGGGGCGGGAGGGGTAAAGAGTTCTGATTTTTTTTTCTTTTTTTTTTTTTTTGTTGTTTTTTTGACTTCAGTACTGAAATCTTCTACAGTGTGATATGGAGAGGGAGATATTTGTATGAATACATCTGAATAAACCAACTCCTTTGGTAGTTTACAGTAACTTTAGGATAGAATTCAGGGGCCTGTGAACTTAAATGGAAAAGAAATTACATATTTATTTTCAGTAACTTCTAACTGGAATTTATCATTTCCTTCTATTGTGAATGTAGGCAATGAACCACAAGCATATTTAACAGAACCATATTTCTACTAATAGGAATAATAGACATTTTCTTGTCACAATAACATTTAGATAATCTTGAAATATCATTTACACTCATCACTTTTCAACTTCTGATAGTTATTAGAACCAACGTTAGATTTTTCCCTTAACTTGTTAATAAACACCTCTATTTCTATATCAGAATTTTCTTTTTACTATTTCAATGGCTGTGTTTCAATGTAACTGGTTACCCTGTAATCTTACTTTTAGGCATATAGAAGTGTTATTCTCAGAAAGGATTACAGTCTTCACCAGACGTTCAAAGGGGTCGATGGCATAAGAACAGTTAAGAACCTCTGCCCAGAACTTTTTTTCCTCAGGAGCCATTTATAGATTATTTTAATAGACATGTTACAAGTGTAGCCTACTGGGCCTCTTTCTATATTCAGCAACCGTCCAGTTTTTCACAGAGCAGCATGATTATTTTTTACTGTGGGAACTGAGATGATACAGGAGGCCGCATTATCCTTCGTAAATAAACAATCTGGAGAAAGTACACAGAGCAAAGCATTTCTAAGTTAGCGATTAATTTAGTGGAAGGAAGCATGTAGATATAATTTTCTAATTTCCATTTTTATAGGGTACTAAATTTTCTCCTTTAAAAACACATAAAACTGAATACTGTATTTACAAAGCTTGCTCGCGCACAAGGAGATAATGCTAACTATGGCTTCAGATAAGATACTCGACCTCAATAGTTTCCAGGTGATAAGTATTAAAGAGTGAGAAAGGACATGGTTTTTGAGGGCTCAAACTGGCGGGCTGTAAGGTCACATAGCAAGCATACCAGGCAAAGGGTTAACTCCCAGTAACCAGAGCTGCACAGATAAGCCATTCATAACCTTCCTTGTTACCAAACAAGACTCCCATTAAGTACACTTTAACCACCAGTCAAAAGGAAACCAGGCACTAACAAAATTTTGAGGCTCATCAATAAGATAAATACATATTCTGTTTATCTCAAAATCATGCTGTATGAGCTTTGGAAGGGAATTCTTTTTCTTGATTAGGGCGTCTCCCATTGTGTAATTAAAACCAACTTCAGTTCATAATAAGTATCTTTGTCAGGATCATTTATTTCGAAGTGACATTCCTTCATGGGCTTTTATAAATCCACGATGATTTTTGGAGTTTCCAGTTGAATTGAGTTTTGAGCGTCACCCCCTAAGCCCTTTGCCACAACCAGAGGGTGTGCACATAGAAACATACCTGCAGGCGTGAAGATTTTGAAGCCATCAGAGGTACTGCCCAGTAAGTTTAGATTATAATACCCCTCCATTTCTCTCCCTTTTATTCACCTTACAGTTTTACCAAGATGTAAAGGATTGGTGGCTCTTCGGGTTCTATTTCTGCATGCCCTTGGTGTGCACTGCTATCTTCTACACCCTTATGACCTGTGAGATGTTAAACAGAAGGAACGGCAGCTTGAGAATTGCCCTCAGTGAGCACCTTAAACAGGTAAACCTCATAGGCTCGCGAAAATTTGGCCAAGACTGATTTGTCCAGACAACAGAAAGCCTATAGATATTGTATTCAGCTGACGTAGCCTCATTTCCTAAAAATAAAAATAGTGTCTTATAATTGTTTTCTTTATAGTTATAATATTAGGAATTTCTTTTGTGAATGTGGATAGCCTACAGACAAAAGAGGTGGCCGTGGGGGCAGGGCCAGATAGAGAGGAACTCTGATTTAGTTTGCCAAGAGTATATTCAACACGTGTGTTTGTGTGTCTGTGAACTGAACTGGGCTTGTTGGAACTGTGCCAGGACAAAGAAGCAGATGAAGTCTTGGTGCAGAAGTAAAATACAAATATGAAACATTTGGAAAACAGAATCACAAGGTATGGTAGAAGTGGACTGTGTTGTGGGAAGCCAAGGAGGATGTAAGACACAGTCACAGAGATGCTTGTCATAGATGAGGGAGATTGATTTGTTCGTCAAGGATAAAGGCATTTGACAGGGAAGGAGATGACAGGGGGCATATTTCAAGTGCAAGGACGAGAGTGAGAACATGGCATGGGCACCATGCATTTGGGGAGTGGGGAAAAAGAGACGAACCTCATTAGAGAAACATCTCAATGTCCACAACAGCCAAACTATGGAAAGAACCTAGATGTCCATCAACAGCTGAATGGATAAAGAAGATGTTTTACACACACACAAACACACACACACACACACACACACACACACACAGGAATACTATGCAGCCATCAAAAGAAATGAAATCTTGCCATTTGCAACAACTTGGATGGAACTAGAGGGTATTTTGCTGAGCTAAATAAGTCAATCAGAGAAAGACAAATATCATATGATCTCCCTGATTTGAGGAATTTGAGAGGGAGGGTGAGGGGTTTGGGGGGTAGGGAAGGAAAAAATGAAAGATGAGATTGGGAGGGAGACAAACCATAAGAGACTCTCAATCTCATGAAACAAACAGAGTTGCAGGGGGAAAGGGGGTTGGGAGAGGGTGGTTGGGTTATAGACATTGGGGAGGATATGTGCTATGGTGAGTGCTGTGAAGTGTGTAAAATCTGATGATTCACAGACCTGTACCCCTGGGGCAAATAAGACATTATAAGTTAATTAAAAAAAAAAAGAAACATCTAAGGTAAGACTCATGATAGGATTCGGGATTGGGTACAGAAAAAGAGGTCAAATTTGAAGAGCCCCAGGAAGCTGTTGTTGGTCCCCCATGCCCCTCCCCCAAGCAGCAAACAGAACAGATACATAGGTGGCTTTAGAGGGCAAAGCTTTACACTTAGACTTTCTGAGCTCTGTGATTTTGGGCAAATTGCTTAATTTCTCTGAATCCCTAGTTTTTCATAAGATGCATATAATAATACCTGCATCTTTCTGTACAAATATTAATTCAAGTCTTAAAAAATTATATAAAATGTATATAATAATACATCAAAGGGATCACCTAATGCATATACCATGGCTCATACTAAGTACCCAGAAAATGTTTGTTATATATTAATTCAAAGAGTAAAACTAGGACCGCCCATAAGTTCTCAATCTGAGCAGAGAAGTATATAAGAACACCCAGTCGCACCAGAAGTTAATGAGTTGTTGATGGAACCCATAAATCTGTCCTATACAATCACCATTCCTCATCAGTGACTCCTTTCCACTACTGTACTGATATTTCTGAGCTTCAGCTTCTTTATCTGTAAACTGGGCATAATAGTATATAAATTGATATCACTACAGAAATCAAAAGAATTAAGTGCATACAGGGGCTCCTGGGTGGCTCAGTGGGTTAAAGCCTCTGCCTTAGGCTCAGGTCATGATCCCAGCATCCTGGGATCGAGCCCCGCATCTGGCTCTCTCCTCAGCATGGAGCCTGCCTCCCCTTCTCTCTCTGCCTGCCTCTCTGCCTACTTGTGATTTCTGCCTGTCAAATAAATAAATAAAATCTTAAAAAAAAAAAATTAAGTGCATACATATACTTTGTAAAATCTGACATGCATACAAAAGGTAGCTATTATCTTTCAGTAAAATTTAACAGAAAAAGTAGATTTGAGTATGACTTTGTTCAGGCATGAATGTTTCAAGGACTCCAAATGGGAACTATATCAAACAATGCTGGCCTCTCACTCCTGCAGTAGAGGTAATTAATTAAAATAAATTTGTAAAAAACAAAAAGACAATGTTCTTCAGTGCTGAAATTTTCATTAATACCATAATTGAGCTTGTTTAAGTTATGAATGGTAACTGCTCTGAAAATAACTGAACAGAATTGCCTGTGAGGATAATAGGATTCTGCTTCACATTTCCATTGCATTCTTTATGTTTCCAAAGAGCATGTCATTTGTTTATTTGATTCCTCCAAGCACCCTGTGATATAGGCAGGACAGACCTCCTTACACACTTGATTATGAGACTGGCTAATCCAAATGCAGATTAAAACTGAAGTCTTGGTCCTATGAGGCATTGCCTAGCGTCGCACCAAAAAGTTGTAACAGATTTTAAGAGCAGGAGAGCAGGCCGGGCTGCAAGACCTTCCGTCGGGGCCGTGGGGAACTAAATTCACAGTGAAAGGCCCTGCCACCCTTTGGCTAGTATCCTACTTGGCGCCCGGTTTTGCTTCCTGCGTGGTTTTCTCAAATTTCTCTTCATTATTCTGACAACAACTTTTATCAGTTAGGGATTGTGTTTGGATGCTGGTAGCAGAAAACCCAAAATAACAGTATGTAAAACAAGTGAGGGTTTTTTCATTCTCCCACAGCAAAAAAATCAGATGTCACGGGTTCAGTGCTCAAGGGACTCGGAAGCCAGGGCTCTGCTCTTTTTGCTGACTTTTCCGTTAGAAGACAGGAACTACAGCTCTACCTTCTCTCAGATTTCCAGGCAGCAAAAAAGGCAAGAATACAGACCACATTAGTGTTTGTGCTTCTGAGGACTAGCCTCCACTTTTTAGTAGCTTATCCAGCAAACTCACACAGCGATTTCTACTTGATCTCAGCGGTCAGACTGTGTCAGGTGGCCTTGAAGTCGATTAGCCTGAACTCCCCTGCTGCAGCAACAAAATCAAGGATTTGACTGATACAAGGAGAACAGGAGAAGACATAAGCAAACACAAGTACCAGACTGCCATGGCAACAAATTAATAATGGGTTTTGAAGGATCGTCCTCTGAGGATTTGCTCAAGGGAGACAGCCTCTCCCCCAGTACCCTCCTTTTCTCTTTTTCTGGTCACACTTTCCGTGTACACAAAAGGATCCTTTAAAATGAGCCCCTATTCCTACAGATCGGAACTCCTTATTTTCTCAATTGTTGCTCAGCTTGGATGTTCTCTGAAGCCATAGTCCACCCAATAACTCTTAAAAGATTAAAGAACCCCAGTCCTTCAGGCTAGAGCCACAATTTGTGAGGACTGCCTTGAAATCTTTTTAAACGGCTCTATTAATCATGTGGGTTTATTGTAGGCTGCCCATACTTAATGCTATATGCTTTGGGTTGAACCAACATTACCCTTCCAAATCCTGTTTTCAATCAATTTTATTTTGACATTAACTGATCCCAGTTACAGACAAGTTGCATTTTATGTGCCTAGTTAGGCTTTCAAATGCATGCATTGTAATACTCAAGCATGATGCACACAAGTGTCTGGTTGCAGATAATTCCTATGATTTTTCTGGTCCTACACAAACTCTAAAGTATGTAAACCTTCAAACTGAGGTCAGTCCAGGGTTAACATGTCCCAGTCATTCTAATCAACATTGCTGATAATCCTTTTCCCTCATCCCTCTGTTTGCAAACAGAGGTCTTTGGAAGCTACATGTCATTAATAAGAGAATTTTAAAAGCAAAAAACTCCCAATGTTAGCTTTCTTCAACATCAAGAAATGGAGAAAACATCGCTATTGGCTTTTATCTTCTATTCCCTACTTCTGTTTTCCAAATATCTTCGTAGATTTGTTCATTCTTTATTATGTTGGGTTCAGTCCCGTTGAACGCCATGCTGTCATTAATGCTAGTTACCCATCATTGAGGCTTTTAGTTAACCATTCCCCCCATATAGTCACACACATGGGTGCACACACACACATTCAGCTCCAGTGTTGGCTCAGCTCCAGCCAATTTCCATTTCCCTGACATCGAACTTCTGACCCTAATAACCAGCTTGAGCCACCATCCTTCCTGGCAGCTACCCAAAAGAATCATTAGCAACTCCTTGATTAGAAAGTTGGACTCCAAATCTTGAGGAGATGGAGGCACTGTGAGGCACACTCTTCTGGCTCTTTTTAAAGTAATTCTTTCTCTGCTGTCTACTACATCCTTTGTGTAGCTCTTTCCTCTAGCAGAAAAACACTAAATTTATTGTACTTTTTTCCCCCTCGCTTTCCTTTAGCGTCGAGAAGTGGCAAAAACAGTTTTCTGCTTGGTTGTAATTTTTGCTCTCTGCTGGTTCCCTCTTCACTTGAGCCGTATTTTGAAGAAAACCGTGTACGATGAGATGGACAAGAACCGATGTGAATTACTTAGGTACGGGCCTGTGTACTCGTTAGGAAAGTGAAGTTTCTCCAGTTGTCACGCTTATGATATGTTTACAAAACCGTCTAGTCTACAGTCTCGTTAGCCCTAAAAATTAAAACTGCAAAGTTGATTATTTTTCTTTCGCTGACATAGCCCATGACTGATCCCAGAGTTTGTGTGAGCCGTATCTGTAATTTTGCGGCTCCCCTCCTGGGGCTGTACGTCATGGTTTGAGCTAACCAAGTGGCAGGTATATCCGTAAATGTTCTGCAGAACTGAAACTGCCACTTAAACAAGGCCTTAAAATTATTCTGATTGCCACCTATAAGAAATGGCTCCTGGGCAAGAAAAATGCTTATTCTAGGGATAAATGCTAGTTAGCAGGTTGAAAACATTATCTTCTAATTATTCCACTATTTTCTTCTGTTGTAGTTTCTTGCTGCTCATGGATTACATCGGCATTAACTTGGCAACCATGAATTCATGTATAAACCCCATAGCTCTGTACTTTGTGAGCAAGAAATTTAAGAATTGTTTCCAGGTGAGACTGGTTTGCATATATCTTTTTAAGGACAACCAATGGGGTACATGAAGTCACCAACGAGCTTGGATAATTTCCAGTAGAGAAGTGAAAATCCTATTTTGTTACCCAGAAAGAGGGTCAGATTGCCAGCATAAAGCAATATTGTCAGAAAAATTGTCTGAAAGGAAATACCAATTCAGACAACAAAATATGCAGGGGCTTGACTAAAAAGAACTAACTTAATAGCTTGTTAATTTAGTATGCTGCTTTATAAAGAAATGCTCAACTGTGAGCTCCAGGCTCCAGAGAATACACACAATCTAGTCATGCCTCCCATTATCTTAGAGGTTAACCACAGCCTCAACAAAACGTGAAGTTTGCTGTTTAAAAAAGGTTTTGCTAAATAATGGGATATTTAATAATAGCCTATGCAAGGAAAGGAAGTGCTTATTGCCCTGGCCATCTGAGCTAATATAATTTCATTTGAAATCAGTTTCCTTCTGTTCTTCAAACTTCCTTGCAGCTAAGCCAACCCATGTCTTCCAGAAGCTCCATGTCCTTCTTCCTGAGGTATCATCTCTCCAGTTCCTGGGACGATTAGCATGGCGTAAATCCTTACTGCATCCTTTGGCCAGGATGTTTCACTGCAGTTTATGGCACATGTTAGGAAGAGTAGTATAGAGGTCAAGGGTGCAGGATCTGGAAGCAAACAATTTTGATTTACATCACAGCTCTGTACTTGGTAACTGTCTAACCCAGGTCCAAGTGATACCCCTCCTACCTCCTCAGTTTGATCATCTGTAAAATCAGATGATCACTGTATCTATCTCACAGGTAGGATTCAGTGAGTTAATATTTGTTAAGCACTTGGGACAATAATAAGCTCTCAGTAGGAGTTTTTTTATTATTAGGGATAGAGAAGAGAGAAAAAACACAATGACTGCCCTCATGGAATGGACAGGAGAATGGAAGGAGATTGACATATATTTACCAAAGAATCTTACAAACAGATGAAACTTGGTATGGAAGTTCTAGCTGCTACCTTTTTAAAGTCTACTTGAAAATGTTTACAAGTCATGAAGTGCTCTACAAAAGATTCTGCCTGGGGAGCCTGGGTGGCTAGTCCGTTAAGCATCTGCCTTTGGCTTGGGTCGTGGACCCGGGGTTCTGGGATTGAGTCCCGCATTAGGCTCCCTGCTCCGCGGGAAGTCTACTTCTCCCTCTGATCCTTCTCCCCACTTGTGCTCATACTCTGTCTCAAGTAAAGAAATAAAATCTTAAGAAAAGAAAGAAAGAGAGAAAGAAAGGCTCTGCCCAAGGAAGCATTGACTAAAATGCTGGTCATAATTAATCCATCATATAATCTGGAATTAATCTAATTTAATTAATTTATATATTAATTAGAGGGGAAGGGAAAATCAAGGTACAAACTCTCAGAAATTAAACCAATCTTTGTATTAATCTTCATACAGAGGTAATATATGCAGGAGAAAGACCTTAATCCAGAGAGTCCTGGGTTCTAATTCCAGTTCTGCCTATTTCCCCCTCTAAACCGCCTTATCCTCAGTAATAAAATGGGAAAAATAGCACCTACCACCTAAGGCTATGAGGAGAGATAAGATATCCAAAGCAGGCAGCCACACAGGTGAGGCACACTGCAGAAATGCCAAGCCCCTCCAGACCCTTCTCTACCCATGTCCACCCCAAGTCATAGGACATGCTCCCTCAGGCCAACACTGCCTTCCCTTCCACTTGGATTTGGTGAATAAATTAAAACAAGAAATAAGGGATCTATTTCTCTGCACTAGAATGGATGGTTTAATTTCTACCTAGAGATTACTAGCTCTATCTTCTAGATTACTGTTCAGGTTCACTTCTCTCCTCACGTTTTGTTGGTAGGAACCCAAGGCTTCTGTGTTCTGCTGGAAACAGGTTGGTAGGCTTATTTATTTAGACTTTGTTCCTTCCCCCAGTCCTGCCTCTGCTGCTGCTGTTACCAGTCCAAAAGTCTGATGACCTCGGTCCCCATGAATGGAACAAGCATACAGTGGAAGAACCATGAACAAAACAACCACAACACAGAGAGGAGCAGCCATAAGGACAGCATTAACTAAACATCTTAAGAGATATTCATCAGTAATCCTTCAAATTCTATTGGAGAAAAAAATCACACAGCAACTGTGTTTCCAGAAATCTTTTGTCTAATCCTTCTCTTGTGACTCAGCCCCAAACCCAGAAAAATGCTTTAAAAACATCAGAGGGTGGACTGGTTTATGGTCACAAATTTGATGAATCTTATTTCTTTAATTTATCTAATTTACATATTCTGCTTGTTATTTACATATTCCACACTAAAACAATGGTGGGAGTTGGCAGGAGGAAGGGAGACTGTTTGGTTAAATCAGATGGGTATTTTCTACTTTTGCATGAAAACAGTCTTCCAGTACTTGACAGCTTCTGTGGAATGTCCAGTGAGAACTAGCCACCATGAAAATTTAGTGATTATGACAAGATTTTAAATTTTTTTGAATTGGCCAGATGCAGTAAGGTAAGCAATCAGGTTAATGTTTTTCATGTCACTTTTTAATTTTTAAAATATCAGTTCTCAAGCCGCAGCAAATATAGGCACTTAAAGCACAGGCTGATATCCATAATGTGGCAGTGTAATAGCTGGTATTCAAAGAATTTTTAAGAACCTTTATTTTCTTTTGTAATGAGGTTTCATTATAGGAGCTCTGGAGCATATTTTTATGTGAAATTTTAAAATAATGTTTGAATCAACTAGTTCTATTTTTCACAAGCCCAATCTTTTTAATGTAGATATTTTATGTAAAATCAATATCATGTACTAAAATTTAAATGTGCATATCATTCAACCATACCCAAGACTTTCAGTGGAATGTATTTACATCTAAAGCACAACTAGTAGAAAAAGACAAGGTTTTTAGAAGACTTGGAAATTTTCATTGAGGTTTTTTTTTTAAATAATAGTAACATATATGTGTGCATTTGGTAATAGTAACATGTATGTGGACATATACATATATGTTATACATATCACCTCATAGTCTCTTGATTTCTCTAAAAATGTTAACTGTCAGTCCAGCGTTTTTGATCCTTTGCTTTTCCATATAAGAAACCATTTCAAAGTGACCAGCTGAGTTTATCACTTCAGTGAGATATAATTACCCCCAAATGCCACCTTGAATTTACAGTTCTTCACTTCCCTGGGTTTCCAGCATGAATCTAAACACCTCCCCGACCCCCACTCCTCACATGGTCACCATTTCAAAGGGCCCACAGTGACTTTTGCTGGGCATGTTCTAAGATGTTTACAGACTGTGAGTACAGCAGAAAATCTTTTACTGTGGTGTATATAAATATATATAAACAACTGTACATTTTTTTAGCCAACTTTTCTGTGATTGTCTTTATGGAATGTACTTGTGTGTGTGATATATGCATGTGTGTTATGGTATGTATGGATTTAATGTAATCTAATAACACTGACCTGTAATCGTATCGCAGGACATACTCTAAGTGGAATCTAAGTGGTTGCTTATCATGACCGCTGGTCTTAGTTTTAATCTATCTGTGTCATAATTCCTGTGAACATGACACCATTACAAATGGGATATGGGAGGCAGCATGAACGGGGACGAACCATGGGTTAACAATAGTGTTTGTTGAGCTGGTTGGTGGGTTCATTTGATAAAACAGCATCTGGGATTGTACTTTTTCCTGTGCTAGAGCAAAAGTCATTAAATATTGAAGTATTATATTGTCTTGGTTCCTCAACTCAGTATGCTGATGAGACTGACAAGAGGTCCGATGTTTCCTATCAGACTTCACAGACAGATTGCTGATGATAAATTAGCTAAGCTGACTTGTTGGGCTACATTTTAGCGTAGTTGTGTATAAAATGATATCAGGTTCCAGTTGATCCAATTGCAGGGCTCCTTTATGTGTTAGCAGTCGGATTCCATAACTTACTGGTGCATCATGTGCAGTGATATATACCTATAATATAAGCCAAAGTTCACAGCATTTTGTTTAGACAATTATCTTCTTTTTTAAGATGTGGTTGTCTCTTGCATATGAAGATACATTTCATCAGTTCAGAAAATCATAGATTCTGAATAACACACAGGCTTCAATGTGCATTTTGCTTATGGACCAGTAAGTAGCCATGGTTTACCAAAAGGAGTATTTCCAGTTTTTAACTTTATCACACCTTCCCAAGCAAATCTGTAGAAATGAGCCAGAAGCCAAGGCCCCTGCATTGGCAGTGGCCCATAAGTATAAAATAAAAGTTTACAGAAGCCTTGCAAGTGTCTCTTCATTTCTACATAGTTCTACACAGAAAATGTTGATTACATGATGCCTATTGCTAATATCGTCTTAGTAATAGCTCAGCAAGCAATTTAACTTTCAAACAGACACTTCCTAACTGTATCCTATTCGCAACCTACTTTGTCATACAGAACACTTAACTCTTTCATCCATTCCTTCATTCACATTTCCAGTATATTTTACTAAGCATCTACTTTGCCCCAGTCATTCTTCTAGGTACTGGGGACATAGCAGTGAACAAAACAGGCAGAGTTCCCGCCCTCATGGAGCTGGCATTCTAGACGAAGGAGCTGGACAATAAACAGTGCATCAGGTGGATAGCTGGACGAGGAGACTCACGTATACCCAAGCACTTATTTGACATCTCCAATTGAATGGCTAACAGACACACTGTATCTAAAACTAAGCTACTCATATCTCTCTACTTGGGCTACCCTAATATTCCTCCGCTCATGTATTAGTCAGGGTTTTTCTCTGGAGAACGCCAAAGCAATAGGACATATTAGATAGATAGATGATAGCTAGCTAGCTAGATGGATAGACAGAAGAGGAAATTTATTATGGGAATTGGCTCACGTGATTATGGAGTCTGAAATATGCATGATCTGCCATCTACAAGCTGGAGAACCAGAAAAGCCTGTAATGTAATTCAGTCCAAGTCCAAAGGCCTGGGAAAAAAAATGGGAGCGGATGGTATAACTCCCAGTCTGAAGCCCAAAGCCTAGGAACCATGGGGCAGCCTACTGGTCAAAGTCCCAGAGTCCAAAGGCCCAGTAGCCAGGAGCACAAAGTCCAAGGGCAGGAGAAGATGGATATCCCGTGTCAAGAAAAGACAGAGAACTCACCCTTCCTCTGACCTTTTGCTCTTTTGGGGCCCTCTATAGATGGAGGATCCCTGCCCACACCAGTGAGAGCAGATTTGCTTTACTCAACCTCCTGATTTCAATATTAATCTCTTCTGGAAATATCCTCACCAGCATACCCAGAAGTGATATCTTACCAGCTTTCTGGGTGTCTCTTGGCCCAGTCAAGTTGACATATAATGTTAACCATCACAGCTCTGTTAAAGACAGCCCCATCCTTTGAGCTGTCATGGTGTGTGTGTGTGTGTGTGTGTGTGTGTGTGTGTGTGTGTATGTGTGTAGGCTTCTATGATGCCTACTTGTTTCCAGCCTTGTACATATTATACCATAATTGGATCTGGTCTCTCGACCCCCATAAATGGTCTAAAGATATTCACATTTCCAAGCTAATTTGCCAGCATCCCCTGGGGAGTTTTCTCAGGAACAACTAAAGTAGGAAAGAGCCCTTTCCCCCTGCGGCACACCTAGTAGGTCACGAGCCTGGGAGGTGCTGGCCACCATGCTTTGGGCATTATGAGGGACGTCAACCTAGAGTGTTACAAAGATGGAAGAGGGCACAGAAGTTCTTGGTGCCAGTTTTCCCTGATGCATTCCCATGACTTCAGTAAGCAAACCAACATATTTACTTTTGTGCCTATGCTAACTGCATTTGGTTTTTGTTGCTTACAATACATACATTCTAAGAACATCTCATCTAAATTATCTTGGTTTGTTTCTTTTTACTGCTTAAATTCAGAGACCTCATATTTTTCAGAGTTTTAGAGTGGATTGGAAAGTACAGACAATTCCCACATGCCCTCTTTTCCCCTTTCCCTACAAAGAGTTCTCCCACATCACCTGGGTAGGCCAGTCAGTTAAGCGGTTAAGCATCTGCCTTTGGCTCAGGTTGCTCAACCAAGGAGCCTGCTTCTCCCTCTGCCTACTGCTCCCCCGGCTTGTGCTCTCTCATGTGTGATATATCTCTCTCTCAAATAAATAAATAAAGTCTTATAAAACAAAGAGTTCTCCCTATTACTTCCTTTTGTGTTAGCATGGTGTACTTGCTGAGGCAATATTCATACAATCGTATCAACTAAAGTGCATAGTTTACATTGGGGTTCACTATATTGTACATTGCATGGATTTTGATAAGTGTATAGTGACAGTTTATCACCATGACAGGATCATTCAGAATCGTTTCACTGCCCTAAAAACTCCCTACGCTCTACCTTTTCTTCCCTCCTTCCTTCTCCTTCTTGATTTATCTTTTCACCCAGTACAAATATAGTGAATACCCTCCATTATTACACTGTGCGAGTTGTGCCGGGAATATGAAACCAGATGTATAAATAAATAAATGCACCGAAGTGCTTAGTGATGACTCAGTAGATGTCAGCACAGAGGCCTATAAAGGCACAAAGACAAAGTAGTCAAAATTCTTTAAACTCCAGCTGGTGACATTAGTGAAAAAACACCGTGTAAGTGTTCTTGCTTCTGTGATTCTTATCTTAATGCAAAAATACGTCATTGCCAGGAGAATGGCATAATAAAAAGCAACAGACTACTATCTGTACATTATGAGCTTTTTTAAGCCTGTAAATACATATTATTCTCTATTCAAAAATAAACAATATCAATGCATTTAAAATTATTAAGGTAATAAAACAAATTGGAGATTAAATCCAGGACAGAACCAAGACAAATATGAATCTTTTGCTTGTCTATTATCTCTATCATTATTTTCAATATTACTAGTCCATAAATAGTATTAAAAAATATATAGGTGTGGAGTGAAGAAAATGCACTACCAGTATTCCCAAGCCTCTCCAGGCCCGAAATTCTGAGACTACGATTCCTTCATTTGTAACATAATCTGGTACAGCACTCTATTGATTGATTTTTTTCCATACCTCAGACAAGCGAAGTTATGGTGGCACAAGTCCACCATATGCAGTTGTCTCTGAAATTCCAGTGGGGTCTTCATATTGAAAACTGCCCCATTTTTTAAAAAATAATCTTATATTTGGAGAAGCCTCTGTCACACTTTTGCCTAAGTACTTACAAAGACAAACTAGTGTCTATATTTGGTCAGGACCAATACTCTGACTTTTGTGTTTCCAAAACTGAAAGGAGAGGCTACAGTTCCTAGAATGAGGGAATAATCAAGAACCCAAAAATAACAGGGCACCTGGGTGGCTCAATTGGTTAAGTAGCTGCCTTTAGCTCAGGTCATGATCCTGGAGTCCCTGGATCGAGTCCCAAATTGGGCTCCCAGATCCATGGGGAGTCTGCTTCTCCCTCTTGACCTTCTCCCCTCTCATGTTCTCTCTCACTGTCTCACTCTCAAATAAATAAATAAAATCTTTAAAAATAATAATAATAACATTGTAACTGCAAAGTGGGGCTTTGCTCCTGAAGCAAACTAGCATGGATCACTTTTGCTTTGATGAAGGCAGAAGTCCTAATACCTCACGGTTTCCCAACCTTTAACAACAGTATTATTCAGTTGATGTCCTTGTTTCTTCCTGGGAGGTAACAAATTAGGAATGGCATTGCTAAACCTAGATATAATAAGATGAGTACTGGAATCTCCTGAGGAAATATAGAGTATTCCACAAATTTTTCCTTCCTGGCCTTAAACCACAGTCCTCTTTCCTAATTTATCTACGTGGAGCTGACCATCTTTTGTTTGAATTGGATTCTATGATGATAGCTACAACTGCCTTTGAGAGTTGTGTGACAGATTTGTCCCAGATGGGAGACAGTAATGCGTGCCGCCCAGGCTGCCAAGTATCATATGATCAGTCAAATCACAGGCCCCAGCACCTACAGGACATAGCCCTGACTCACTCCACTTATGCACGTTTTCACAGAATAAAGCCATTTCTCTATGAACATGAGCTCTTCATTTTTCTTGAATTGTGACTATTGAGAGTAACTGTAATTAAATGCTTAGGGTTTTTAAATATCTTGAAATAAGAAAATCTAGTAAATGTGATCAGGTGAAGGGAACATATGGGCCCTTTTAGGCTTTTCAGGTGTACATTTGTGCCTAATGCAAACCTGATCTCTTTGATCCAGTCTTTTGTCTACGTTACTAAGCCTAATGGGGTCAGGCCTGGATCGCTTCTCTTCACTCCCAGGCAGGACCTTGTTGGGAGGGATAGATTTCTGCTGATCAATTAAGGCCAAACAGGGCCAACAGGGAGGTGGGATGGGGGGAAGGGTGACTTCCCAAAGGAAACCCCACATGGCCTTAGAAAGGGGAAGGGAGAACAGCTGCACCACTTCCTCTCTTTTTTGAGGATACTGTCCATATATCCTGCCACTCCTGATTTCTGCTGCTTTTTCACATTTTTAGCTTAGTTAATTCTTCAATTTTTAGTACTTTCTTTCAAAAGAATTTTTGCTTTTCAAATTATAAAATCATACACAAAATAGATCTATAATATATTTAAAGCTCTTTCAGAACAAAATAATAATTAATGAATGATCCATGTATTCGGAGGGGAAATTTTTATACATGAGACTTTAAATATAACATAAGACATATATGCAAATATATTTACATAGATTGTTTACATTATATTTGCATATATTATAATCACATGTTTGTATTTACATATATATCTTACATTTATTTATCTAGTCCTTTGGTACCACAAACAAGGCTCCACCGTACATCTTTGTACAAGACTTCATGGAGACTTATGTGATTTCCCTGGGACAATTAAAAAAGAGTAGGATTGCTGCTGGGTCACTGGGATTTTTCACTGATACTGTCCTTACGTACTGCCAGACTGTCCCCACCAGGTCTGGGTGGAGCTGTGATTACTTCAGGGCTCCGGGTGCCTTGCAGTTATACCACTGTCCACAGGCACGGTCACATTGAGGGAGCATATATACCTTTAGACATATGTACAGATGCTGTTGGAGACCTGATCAGATCCTCCTGGATCCCTTGTACCGTCTCTGTTCACCCATCCCTAGCTTCATGGTTTTTGCTACTATTTGTACCTGTCCTTGGACATCAGAGCCCCCTAGCTTATAAGGAGCAGAGGAAGTAACCGGGAATCTTATGTCCACCTATGACCCCCCCACCATGACCTGTGGACAACGACTTACTGGTGTGAGGGGACCAAGTCCAGCTCTTGTGCCTCAGGTGGGGCTAATACCCAGCACCCAGGAAATGGGGCTGAGTCTGTGACTTTACCTGAAAGCTCACCTCTCTTAGGTTCTTCCCTCTCCTCAGTCTGCTTCTTCTACTCCCTTACTGGTTTCTTCTTCTGGGGCTGGGTATTAGCAAACCACTTATGCTCAATTCTTGGCTTGAAGACTGCTTCTGGAGGAACCTGACCAAAGAGAGCACACTTTTTATTTCACGGCTGAATGTGATTGGCAAATTCCAACAATGAACATGTTAGATTCTTTAGCATACTGAATTGGGGCTCATGTTTGAAACTACTCTTGATTTCTCTATCTGGGGCATCTTAGGATGTATGAGATCTCTTCACTAATCGGCAGTCCAAACTTCCTCACCCTCAACTTCGGTCCCATTGGCTGTCAAAGAGCATGTTTTCTGTTGGGTGCTCACACAGACCACTCTGGGAGCTCCACTGCAAACTCTAAGGTTTTCTGTGTGTCTGACATTACTTCTAATGGAATGCGACTGTCCTTACGCTTAGAAGAACATACCTCTCCCAAGTGTCTGCAAGATGAAAGCATCAGCCATTTATGAAGCTGGAAATCAGTGAGAGAGGTAACCAGATTAGTCAGCTCTAGGTTGGGAAGTGCAGGTAGCAAGCACAGACTACTCTTTCAGAGGACTGGATGATGAGAGTCCCAGAGAACTAGGATGGTGACTTGACAAAACAGCAGGGTCAAAGGAAAGGCTTTTGTTTCTTTAAGAGAAAAACCACCTCAGCACTTTTAGGTGGAAGAATTGAGGCCAGTGAAAAGGAGAGGTCATGGAGGGGTGAAAAAAAAGAAGGTAATTGATGGATCAAATGCCCAGAGAAGATGAGTAGAGTCAAATATGGCAGCCTTTAGTAGAAGGAAAGATTTGAAACTAAAAAACTCTGTGTGTCAACTATATGAACGTGAAAGAAAAAAAAAGGAAGGGAGAGAGGAGAGAAGGGATGGGAGGGAGGGAAGAAGGAAGATTCTTCCTTACTGATTAATCAATAGCATCCATCTCTTCAGGCATGTGATCTCCTATTATCTTACGTTTAATGTATTTAGTCCTTTACTACCACAAACAAGGCTACGCTGTACATCTGCCAACCTATGAATGTCCTTTGTCTATGTTTTAGGCTTACAGACAAGAACAGAGCCTGTTTGTACTGCAGGTAGAAGAATGTCATTTTTAAACCAAACCTTACAAGAACAACCTGGAAAGATACCAAGTGCATGTGTATTAATGATCTCTCCACTTTGGTTTCCTAGCTAGAGGGACACAGATAAGACTGTTCATTCAAATGCTAATCTCCTCCAGATACATTCTCATAGACACACCCAGAAATAATGTTGGGGTTTTGTTGTTATTGTTGTTGTTTTGGGTTTTTTTTTGTTTTGTTTTGTTTTGTTTTTCAGAAATAATGTTTTATCAGTGGAGCAACTCTTAGCCCAGGAAAGTGAAAATAAAATTGACACATAAAATTAATCATCACAGTTATACAATAAATACACAAGAAAAACCAAAATTATTTCATTACATGTTCATGTTTTCTTATAGAACCTATCAGGGCAAATAAATTTCCAATAAGCTGGAGCTGCATACCAACTATGTAACTATGCCTAAAAGCCTTTATTTTATAAACATCTCCCAATCTCATAGCTGTTCCACATTAAAGAGTCTTCCTCACTGTTCCAAACCTATCAGTCAGGGTTGCTGGTGAAGAGTAAGCCTTGAAGCTGTTGTCCAGCATGCTTCTCTTCCCTTCCCTTCCCTTCCTCTGTGTGTGTCCATAAAGAATCTATAAAATGGTAGACCGTTTTCCAACTCCTCCCCTTCCACTAGTGCTCCATTCCAAATATACCTGGACTTAAAATCCATCTGGTAGAAGGGAGCCTAAGTTCCTTACTTCTTCCATGCCGATACCATTTCTCAGATGCTACATCATCTGCAGATACTTGGCAATTGCGTTACAAATTGCACAACTCCTTGGGCTTGGTAAGTGAGTACAGTCTTCCACTTTTGTCATCAGCCTAGCATCCAGAATCTCCTTCAATCAAAAAGTAGAAGGGTCATGGGAACTTAATATGCTACTGAACCATGACTTGGTTCAGAAAAAATAACGGTATAATTTCTGACCACGCTTGGGATCACACAGCATTCCACCAGGTTGCCCCAATACTCCAGGGAACGTTATGTGGTTACGCATGAGTACTCTCATCTAGGAATTATGCTGTGTGACATACAATCTTACAAGCTCTTGCCTCTGTCGATTATACGGTACGCAACAAATAAAAGGTTGTTATTCTGATTTCAGCTTAAATGTCACCTCCTCAGAGAGACATTTCCTGGCCACACAATGTAAATTGGTCACCCAGTCACTCTACCATATTATTCTGTTTTAATTCTCTGCACAGCACATATCACTAAGTGATACTTTTTTAATACACTTAAGTTTGTCTATTGTCTGCCTCCTCTGTTCTATCTTGTTTTTGTAATATCTCCAGTGCATGGGATAATTCTGGATGACACATAGTTAGCCCTCAATATGTATATGTTAAATTAATTACATCAAGGTGATATGAAAGAAAAAAATGGCTAGGAGGATACCTTGAGGCTATTTTTAATATAGGATGGTCAAAGAAAGTCTTTTTGGGAGATTATTTTTGAGCCAAAACCTATATGACAATTAGATACACGTATGAGGCTTTGATTATTACATTGGCCTGCACATTTTTACTGTTGATATGAGACTGTTCTTGTGAAGAAAGGGCTTTATAACTATTGAAAAGTGACCCAAAAAAGTATGGGATTGGCCCAAAAGTTCAAAAGAACAGGTATAGGACTGGACCTATAGAGTGGGTTTAAAAGAAGTAATCAAAATCATTTTTTGATGAACAAAACAAAAATCATTTTCAAAGAGGTAATGAGAGAAATCACTGCTTCCCCGAACATTTTCCTTTTCAGTAATCCAGAACTATTTTTCCTAAAAGCTCCTTCCACCATTAAGGCTTAATCACCCAAGGGAAGGGAATGGCAGATACCACCTAAAACAAAAGTTCCCAGTGAAGATGATAAGATTCCACCAGATTAGGAAAAATACATGCTTTTCTACTGAGCAGTGGGAAGGCTTAATTAAGAAGGAACAATATGTACACCCCTAGGTTCCCTTGGGCTTCAGAACTCACACCCCATACCCCTAAGATTTAGCCAGTTGAAGAGTTGATTGTGGAAACAGAAATCAGGTAGAGAATAGAGACAAGTTTCAGATTGGTAAATTGTGCCCTGTGTAGAAGAGGCTTGTATTGCACACTGCAGTTTCTCTTTGGAACACACAAGCAGACCATCTCATAGAGCGTTTGCTGACCTAAACCAGCATGGGTGTCTGCAGCTGCTGAGAAATAAGCATGAGTTGTTGGGGAGAATTGTATTAGCTATCTTCAAGCCTCCCATACTTTCCCATGCAATGTGAAAAAGATATAGGTATTCCTAGACTTGCCCCTGGAACCAAGAGTCAAGAACCAGAGAGTTTGCCATTGAGTTACTATAGAGAAAGGTGAGATGACACCAAAGTCCACAGGCTAGACAGGGTAAGGCAGATAGCCAGTCAAGAGCAAGACTGGACATTTCAGCAGTGAATGCAGTAAGGATAAAAGTCACTCACTGAGTATGTATCTCAGTTGATGATCAACAGAAGAACAGAGAATGATATCACTCGGTCAAGGAACACTTTCCAAAACTATGAGGATAAACAAGCTCCTCCTGGCACCTAGCTGCCATCTTTGGCATAAGGAAAAGGAAGGAAGACTTTTCAGAAGAGAAACAACTCTGGTGGGGCTTATCTTATGAATTTCAAATCACTGAAATAAATCACAACCATAAAAATCACAACCAAATCACAACCAAATCACAACCATAAAAATGAAACTATAAACTAGAATAGATGAAATTATCTTCTAATAATAAGCTTTAAATAATTATTTTCTGCAATCACCAGGAATTTAAGTAGCTCCAAAGGAACATGAAGCAGTTAAAGAAATACACATTTTAGATTGCTTCAATTTTGACCCTACTGTTGTGTATGGTTTAAGTATCCACTTCTATTGTTCTAGTTTGAGATGCTCAAGTATGCTCAATTCAACTCACAAACCTCCACACTAGGTATCCAAGGATTGCTTTGGTCTTATAGTTGTCCTGGAGGCAAAGGTAGGGTACAAGTAAGAGAGTAGCTTCCTCTATTTGCTATAGAGCCAAGGAAAGGAAACTTAGGTGGGTACTCCTTCTACACCCACAGTACTGTTTGATTTATTGGCAGGATACTTGAAGGCAGTAATACAAATTCCCAGTAAATACCTGGCCCATCAGATACAGTGTGACTTTGAACTTCTCTGGAAGTGACCCTTCTCTCCTAGCCCATGTGTTCATCTCTACATTCCCATATATATACAGTACTGCTTCCATCCTCAACCTCTCCGAGTTAAACCTATGTCCCCCTTCTCCTGTTGCCACTACCAAAAAAGTTATCTTTTCTCTTTTTCTAACACAGTAGCTATACAGAGTTAATAGGTAGAGCCAAGATTATCCATTAAACCAGGATCCTATAGCATTGGTTCCTTTTCCTCAAAAGCTGGAAGACCTTTCTCCAGAAATAGATTTCCACATCTCCCACCCATGGAAGGGAAGAGAGAGCTTTGTTTTCCACGCTGGAGAAGGTTGCCCAAACATTCACTACTACCTTCTTCCTATTCCCAAATAAGACAAATGACTTCTATAAATGCCAAAAAGAAAAGACAAACCCAAGATGAGTTTTGGGGACAAAAGAAATTGACTCAAGTAAAATGAGGTGGTTAACCAAAAAAGAAAAAATGTAGGATGCAGTAAAACAGAGGCTCTAACAGAGGAGAGAGACAAAGAAATTCCTCAGAATAACAAAGAACAGCAGCAGGCCTAGAACAAGTGCAAATAGAAACAGGAGGACAGAAATCTCGAGAAAGAAGAGCTTGTCTGCAGGGGAATAGTGAGATAGAATTAGCAAATATATAAAACTGTCCAAATTGTGACATTGCTCTAATGAGGTAATCAGAGAATGGAAAGTGTGTGTGTGTGTGTGTGTGTGTGTGTGTGTGTGTGTGTGTGTGTGTGTATGTGTGTGAGAGAGAGAGAGAAAGAGAGAGAGAA